AGAACACTTCATCAGTTTCTCACTGCTCAACACATCCACACATTCCGTTCAATACCATTTTTGGTTTCAAAACACCTTAAAGTCATAGGACTATTCAGGCTTCCCACCAGATTCATAATCCAGTCACTCATTCAGAATTGGAGCCACCACCACAGCAGCACACAAGGGCTATCGTAACATCACATACAAACACTAGGAACGTAGTCTCCCGACGCCTTCAAATTTTATATCTGACTCAGCCACAGCCATCTCAGGGAAGCTCAGAGGACCCTCACCAGTAGACGCAGTAATCCCAGCGGCCAAGGACATGGGCCTAGTCCAGGGAGAGAATACGACCCAACCATACCAGCTTCCCGAGGGCAGAGGAACTACCCAGTCTCCCAAGGGCGCGGGCATGACCCAGCCATCGAACTTCCTTTCTTCCTTCCAGCTGATTTGCACTCAGCCTTCTCCCCCTTTTCACTCACCTAACTCCAGTAGGAGTTCTCTCCCTGCCCAGGCCCCCTTGTCAAGGGGCGTTACCCCTTGGGGCGTTACCCCGAGCTTCGATTCCCGCAGGAATCATCTTACTGCCCTGGCCTTAGCTTTTTATATTATATGTCATTCCATAATGACATATAGTATAGCACCATTTATTTTTCTCTCTGTTTGATTTTATTTATATAAATTTATATCTATATGCACCCACGCATATAAATATGAATTTATATATAGTGCTGTCACCCTCACGCTCTGTTCCCGCAGGAACACCCCCAGAGCACCTATACCGCCCGTCACCCTCCAGTAAGAGTCTTCACCTCCCCCTCATCTTTTCCGACTCCTACTGGAGCCAGCTAAATAGCTCACCCAACCCCGAGCTGTGACACGAGTCATGTCACCGACCCTCCCCGGCCCTAGCTTTTATTTGTTTATTTTTGTTTATTTCTCACACTTATCTTTTATTTTTTAAATTTATTTATATATATGTATATATATATGCACCCACGCATATAAATATATATTTATATATAGTGCTGTCACCCTCAAGCTCTAACTCCCGCGGAGTTAATCCCGAGCACCGGACCCCTCGCAGGGGTCATCGCCCAACTGCCATTTCACCCTCCAGCTGGGGCTTCACTGACCATTCCTTTTCCCGACTCCAGCTGGAGATGGCACATACAGCTCTCTCTCCCGCAGGAGAGTCCTAGATTACCCCATTATATATTTATATATCTATATGTTTCATATAAATATATAATTATATATAGTGCTGCCACCTCCCAGCTCTATCTCCGCAAGGAGTGTTCCAAATTACTCCTTCGGAGTCCCCGCCCCCCCTGCCACCCTTCACCACCCTCTCCAGCCGGAGTCCTTCCTTCCCCTTCCCTTATATGACTCCAGCAGGATTCCCGCCCACCCCATGGCTCTGACCCCCGCAGGGGTCTCCCCGAGTCTCTACTCAAGCAGGAGTATTCACAGCCCAAGCCAACTCTGCTCGGGTTCCCGCAGGAACCTGTTTCACCCTTTGCTCCAAAGGAGCCCTCTTTACCTTTTCTTTTTCAAATAACTATATCCAGCAGCCGGATATAGCATTTCAAGCCTTTTGGGAAGTTTCTTCGAATACACGGCTGCTGTCCCGAGCTTCATGCATTTGGGGAGCTCTCGAGAACCACCTGATCTCGTACTCCCCTCACATTCTCTATGGACCTGGCGGGAGCCCTGGGCTCAACTATCTCCGAGCTCAGGGTTCTCTCCCGGGACAGCATGCCAAACCTGCTTACAGCTGTCAAGCAATATCTAAGTGTGAACTCTTGAAGTGAAGTTTTTAAACTAATTTCGAGAGGAGCACGTGATATAATTGACAGCAGCTGGCCACCTATCTACACTCATTAGTTAGCCAATCAGATCTATCCTAACCCACTATAAGTAGCCTAGCTAGACATTACTCCCTTATCTTCGTTTTCCGAAGAAACCCCCCATCCACCCCTTTCTCCTCCTTTTCTCCTTTACAAAAAGGGGAGCTCTCGAGAACCACCTGATCTCGTACTCCCCTCACATGCTCTATGGACCTGGCGGGAGCCCTGGGCTCAACTATCTCCGAGGTCAGGGTTCTCTCCCGGGACAGCATGCCAAACCTGCTTACAGCTGTCAAGCAATATCTAAGTGTGAACTCTTGAAACACTGTTACAACTGAACATTGTGGAAAAATGTGTTAAGCACTAAATTTGCAAAGTATACAGTACACAAGCAGTAACTCCTTACCTTTCTGATCTTCATGGCGGTTGGCAACCAGCTTTTTGGAGCATTACCACCACCGTCTGGATTTGAGTCTGCTTTAAAAAAACAGTCGGCATAGGAGCGTGCTATCTCGAAAATAAGTGCATTTTTCAACGTTTTCCCTAGATGATAAGTATAATCCATTTATAAATAATATTGTTTTGTTTGCGTCTAAACCAGGGGCGTTGCTAGGGTCGAAAGGGATAAGGGGCTTAGCCCCAAAGACCCCCAATCCACCCCCTTACCCCCCACCCCCATTAAAAAAATAATGTTCTAATTTACCCCGCTAAAATACCACCCTTTTCAAAAGGTAATTTACTTTTATAATAGATTTATAAATGGTTTAATAATAAATAGGGCTTTTGAGTTGACTTTTAGCAATAGATTTTGAAGCTTTGTGACTTGTAACACTAAAAAGGAAAAAAAAAACATTAGTAAATAGTCTGTTGTGAGCCATATCATACCTCTTGAGCCTCCTATGTCCTCTCCTGATATGCAGTTTCTGTTTGTTTTTTGAAAATGTAATTTTCTGCATGTCTTCAAATCTAAAAAATATGATTTATTTTATATTGTGAGTTGTTATCCAATGCGATACAAAGCTAAAAACATGTTCAGTTGGACAAAGTGATTAACTAAGGTGCAGTGGCGTATCGCAAAATGCGGAGGCCCCCCTGCAGGGATCACCGATGGGGCCCCCAGTTTTCAAGGGGGTCGGGGGTGTTTGGGGGCAGCAGAGCCAGAGATATACACATATATCTATGATCGGGAGTTTTCCTGGATGTTAGTATTTTTATTTTTTTTTTAATTATGAAAATTATAATTTTACATCACTTTTCTACATTGATGGATCAGTGATCGCACGGGCATTCCTGACAAAAAGATTGTGTTTGCGTATACAGAAATGTACTATCAACCCTCCCTGTTAAATTTGATCTAATCATGTCCTGAAACACACCTTCTCTCCTGCTTTCACTTCTCATACTGATGGAGAGAGCGATTTGTTTGTGAATGAATCTCCATTATGAACGACTCGTTCACTAACGTTAGTCGACAATAATACGAGTTTCTGGCAGCGCAGCATCTCGTTGTCATATTTCTTTTTCATTGTTTGCTGATTTTATTCAACAAAGCTAGCATAAGCCGAGTATTTAGTGCGAATAGGAGCTACTTTGCCTTATGCTGAACGCAGTGACTGTATTATCATCAATAATGCTACCTTTTTAGCACAAATTTCAGAACATACAAAAACGTAAAAAAAACTTAGTCCTATCTATGAAATGTTCTGCCTTTGTGCTTTGTTCTCGTTGTTTGCTTGTTACTACACTCGTAGACAGCGCTACAGTCCCGCATCTTCACGTAAAAACACTTGACTAGTGCGGTTGAATGACATTTGTCCTGGGAGCCCTGTACCAATGTGGCGGCGCTATTGACGCATGCACAGGGTCCCTATACAATATCTAGTGTATATATTCATGTCACAAATTGAGGTGCGGGGAAAGGAGGCGGAGTGGAGCGACAACGTGGGGAATCCTTCACAAACTGAGGAGCGATCACAAACCGAAAGCGGCGAGAGCGTAAAAGTATCCAGAAGTCATTCATTTTTTAACGAGAACCGGCGGCGAGAAACAGTGACGCGTCTTCATTGGCTATGACACGGTTCGGCGGCAAGCAATCAGAATGAAGTAGTCCACCGCTTGAGAGGTGTTCAGAGAACACAGACCTGTGAACTTTGGTTCCGTCCACAGTTGTTCCCAAGAGTTTGATTATTGCGGTTCCTGGATTTTCAATTATTGAAAATCGCGACGACGTGGGGCCCCCTAATCACGCGGGGCCCCCCTGCGGTGCGTGCCCGTCGCTACGCCACTGCTAAGGTGTAGTGTTGTCAAGATACTGGAATTTCTAAATTCAATACCTTGCAAAATATTGATATTCAATAGGCTACTATTTTTGACATAATAAAAATTATCAAAAATAGTACAAAAATAAAAATAAAGATTTATATGCTAGAAATGTGTTTACTTCAAATTTCTTTTGAGGGAGATTTTTTTCAGTTTTCCTCAAAATAAGGTAATGTGGGCATTAGCACTTTAAATGCAAGTAATGCCTGTTTCATTCATTCATTGAGCAGAAATTCAAGATATGCCTCACAAAAGTAGTAGAACAGTCCAGGAAATCCTTAATATGGATGAAGAAAAACACTTTATTTGACAGTACTTTGACAGTACTTTTAAATAAATGGTGCAAAGCATAATCACTGAATAGAGTCTATCAGTTTTTTAAGCACTTTAAGCTCTTATTACTGTATGTTTGTTATTATCAGCAATATTTGCTGATAATAACAATAAATACTCCCCCTCCCCCTCCAAAAAAGTTCTGGCTCAAGATTTTTTATCCTTAGTATTGTAATGTTGAGCTATAGTTGCCCTTAGGATTGCTAATTTCCTAAAAAGTAATCTGCGCTTTTTTGCTATTCTGGTACATTTGATAGTGAAAAGGAAATAAATGTGCACAGTACTGAACCTTACCACTCAGAGGTAATAAGCAATAGATACAGCTAGACAGACAGAAATATGTATGCATATATATATATATATATATATATATATATATATATATATATATATATATGAATACATTATATGATAACAGGTTAAATCCTTTAATAGACATTAAAAGGAGTCCTAAATGTTACACCTTTACAAAAAAAAAAAAAAGAAAAGAAAAGAAAATGGAAAGAAACAATGTGCACATATCAATTGCTATTTTTTACTCAGAAACATGAAACTGACAGAAGTGAAGCTATATTAATCAGGTAAACATGAAAAAAGCACTGGACATTGTTTTCTCCTTAGTAATGCGAGCCCACAATCTTCAATGTAAAAATTAGGTACATGTAAAAATCACATCTGAGTAACAAGCCCTACAATGAAAAACTAGTTACTTGGGTAACACTTTAGTTAGGTCACAATTCATGTTATTTACTACTGACTTATTACCTGTCTATTATTAAGACAATAACTGTTCATTCGTAGTCAAAGTACAATCTTTTGCATTCCTAATCCTACCCAAATCCTAATCCCCAACTTCTACTATACTATTAATAAACAGGTAATTAGTAGTGTATTAATCTAATAGTGCTAGTTAATAAATTGTTTATAGTGTGGAATGTGATCAACTAAAGTGTTACAATCAATTGTGCTCTTGTTTGAGTGAAGTATTTCTAATCTAGTGTAAAGCAGCAAAACTTACAACATTGTGTAACTTATGTATCAGACCCAAAAAAGCTCATCTCATCAATGGGGATGACAGTTTATTTTTGCAAATTCTTGTTTCTCATAATTTGGTCCTGTTTTTTTTAAATGTGTCCCTTTACAGAAAAAAAGACTTCAGCTTGCTTAAATATGCTTAAAAATTCTTTATGACCTCTTCATGAGTTTCCTGTGGGTTGCTTGTTCACTCAGCTGATTCATATCTGAAAAAGAAAATAAGGCACAACTGTACATTAATTATTTTTTTTCAACAATATCATTTTCTGAGCAATTATATAATATAATAATTGGTATATTATATAGAACTCATTATATTTGTAATATATATTATATTTATATTATTATAAATTCTAACTGTACCTTAGTAGTCTCTTTCTCAGGTCTTTAATCTGTTCATTCTTTTTATTGAGAATCTCCTTCAAGTTGCGGTACGCAGCTGTCTGCTGAAATTTCTTTTCCAGTTCCTTAATGGATAAAAAAGCATAATATGATTTATCAAACACATGACGCTTTACATAGTTTTTGTTTAAGTTTGCCTTGTTTATTTAAATAAAATAATAATAATAAAACAATACACACACAAATACATATAAATAAAAAAATCATATATATATATATATATATATATATATATATATATTAGAGGTGTAACGATACACCGATGGCACGATTCTGTTAGGTTCACGGTTTTAGAGCCACGGTTTGGTTTTGTTTAGGTTCGGTTTCTGTTTGCTGTGGGGTTAGGGTTCATGTCATCTTAACAGCAGTGCTAAGGAACAACAGATTCACTTAATTTATTAACTTTGCCATCACATTTTTTGAACAGTCCGGATACCCGAGTAAACTAGAAAAATTAAATAAACACCTCCAATATAGACTAGTCAGAAAAAAATATTCTCTTTAGTGCAGCCATCTTAATGAAGTAAACTGAAATAAAATAAATAACTGCAGTGTAGACTAGTAAAAGATAAACAGGCTTGTCCTTTCTAAGGACATTTGTAATATTCAATTAAGTTAAGTTCTTCTTCAAAACACCATGATGTTCACATTCTCAGGTGAGAGGCTTGATCTTTGTGCTAATCTCTCGCTCTCCCCATGCCTGTCATTTCTGTAGGTCTGCCTTCATGACAGCTGAATGGTGGGGAGACCGATCTATCATCATTGGGCGATGTGGAGTGGTGATATAAAATGGACGTCAGGAAAAGCGAAGAGGAGCGCTATTTCCTTTGATCCTGTTTTCAATGTATTTTGCTGACATGATTATGATTTTTGCATAAATTTCGTTTTGGTAAAATGAAGTTGCATTACTTTTGCCCACTTTGAAAAATGTTGTGATTTTTATTTGTTTCATTTCATTTTGATTGATTAGATTGTTTGCAATTTTTGGTTCAGCTCTTTCCCGTCAAATTAAGCTATAGGCCTACCTCCTCAGGTTCACTCTTTTCTCAGAGTAAGGTGAATAGAGAAGATGTCATATAACTTTCATTTAGCAAACATGTAGAAAATGTATTGTTAAAGACATCAAGTAAGAGGTAAACATCAGCTTTTTATTATTTTTTTCTACAGTTTAGTATAGGGAAGAATATGGCGCATCACACTGTAGAGCTTTCTTTTCCTTACTTTTCTTTTCACCAGTTTCTAGCGAGATAAGTTGCTATTCATGAGTTAGAATTGTTTTGTTTCTTTATTTTGTTTGGCTGCACTATCGTCCCCTTACTCTTGAGTTGAACTAATTTTTGTTTGATACTTTGTTTGAATTTGCTACTTTATTATATTCTTTTTATTATTGTAAATATTTCTGTTTTTTGTATATATTTGGGCGTTATTCTTATTTAATTTTTTGTACATTAAATCTCTTTTGTTGGCAGTTCTGTTGTTAGTGCAGTGGCACCTGCAGCCGTACGGCTGTACGCACTGCACGTACCTACCATGAGAGGGCGGGAATTAATGCCGCTTTTTATTTAGTTATTTGTGACATACTTTAAATTGTTTATTAAACAGTATACACTACAGCGGCCTGCTTTTCCACTATCGTACCAAAGCATCCTAAAAACACTTCGGTACCGTTAAAGTTGTTTCTCCACTTAGCCTGGAACGGCGCATCACGATTACAAACCGTTCTTGGCCTGGTGCTGCACTGTGCCGACATATTCTGTGCGTTGATGTCGCAGCTCTGATGCCAAGCTACCATACCTGACTCAGCAAAAGCGAGATAGTTATCAGACATCCACAAGTGAACTACACTACATTTAATATAAAAAATGATACAGGCCTAAACGATACAGTTTTGAAAAGGGTTTTAAAACCATAGAACAGTCTCTGGCAGAGAAAAGAATCACTGGCCCACCACATTCTTAAGAACATATTTTATTTATTAAAGTTATTATTTCATTGACTAACTATGTATAATAAAAATTAATAACCTGTTGTTTAAAATGTTAGAATAATAAAATAGCCTATTATTTTATTTGTGGCTAGAGCTTGATTAATTTGATTGACATCCTAGGCAATGAGACCTTCACTTCGCCTGACTGAATGTGAGTTTATTGCATGCAGCGCTACATTTGGTAGCACAAAAACTTGCTCTAATCTAGGAGAGAACTTTACCAACAGCTACATGCACTACTGAAAACTTTTTTCTGCTGTGCATCGAATAAAGACACACTTAACATCATCGATGTCCACAAACCTATACTGTACATCCTATATCCATGAAACACGAATTTGCAGACTCTTTGAACAATGAGGAAATAACTGCACTTCCGTCAAGCCAGATGGCTTGTTTTGTAATTTAATGCTGGCTAGACCACCTGAAGGACGGTTACGGGCTAGTTGTGATGTCGGCCGTCACTGGAGAAAGTCTAATCTTTCTTTACATTTTTGGACTTTTTATTTGAAAGCTTTAGTTGCAATGTAGCTGTCCAATGTACTGTTGTTTGATTTAAATTATAGCCTATAGATGCACCAAAAACAAGTCAAATTAATAAATACATAAAATAAATAAAGATTCTTAAATGTCGGTATTGTTTTTACTCGAAAAAATGTTTTATAAAAATAAAATGAGCAATTTTCACAATTTTTTAACAATTCAGTTCAATATAAGTTGGACATTTATGTAACATGTTTCTGTGTTGTTGTTTTTTTTCTTCTGTGATCTTTAATACATACTGGGTAGCTACGCTATATTAATATTAAAAATAACAAAAATAAAATGATAAAATTACAAAGATACAAAGAGCAGAATTTTTCTAAATTATAAAAAAAATATTAGTTTGTATTTAACTTCATGCATTCGTTACTTAATGTTTGAATACTGAAACGACAGTCATTGGAAGGGGGGCAGGGCAGTGCTGGATTTGTGCATACATTGGAATAAAATCCTGCAGGCGCCCTTGTGTCAGTGTCTTTTTCTTACACCCTCACATTGTGAAATTACCACACTTTTTAAATGTTATTCCTTATAAGTATGTTTCATGAAAAAGTTGACCATTCCTGTACTCTACTGGAAAACCAAAATGTTCCCACACAAGCGATTTAATGTGTCTGGGGAATCTGCAATCTCAATACTATGCAGCCATCCTACATTCAAAGTAACCGAGTGTGATCACTCACTCCAGTCACATGACATCACATGCACTTGGAATATACTAACTTTAGAATAAAATATTTAGAACAAAAGGTAACACTTTACAATAAGGTTAAATAGTTAATGCATTTACTAACATGAACTAATCATGATCAACACATGTACAGCATTTATTAATCATAATTGAACATTTACTAATGCATTATTAACATCCAAGTCCATGCTTGTTAACATTAGTTAATGCACCATGAGTTAACATGCACTAACAATGAACTACTGTATTTTCATGAACTAACGTTAACTAGCATGAACAAATACAGTAGTAAATGTGTTGTTCATTGTTTGTTCATGTTAGTAAATGCATTAATTAACATTAACTAATGAACCTTATTGTAAAGTGTGACCGAACAAAAGCTCATCAATACTAATACAATTTACTCAAATGTGATAAAATAAAGATGTGTTTAAATTAATTCAATTAGTTAGAGACAAGTGACGTCAACCTCAACAGTGGGCAGCGAGGGCTGTGAGAGTACCGTGGTATGGCACAAGCATTGCGGGATAGTTATCGTGGCTGGTGTATCGCGATATTTCGGTTTGGTTTGTAATACTGTTACACCTCTAATATATATATATATATATATATATATATATATATATATATATATATATATATATATATATATATATATATATATTATGGGTGGAGCCGAATAAGGTATTCTGAAAGGCACGAATAGCATGTTTTTACGAATACTTATTTCAAACAAATACTTGAAAAATTATTTGTATTCGGGAGCAAGAAAAACATTGTATCAAAAAGCAGCGTTTCCTCATGAGACCACAGTGCATGCCAGCATGAGTGAGTGAGTGAGTGAGAGAGGGAGTGAGTGAGACGCTCAGGAGTCGGAGGGCGGGGTGGAGGTAAAAGGTGTCTGGCACAGGCTTCTCCACACAGCAACAGACAGAGAAGGCTCGGCTGAGCGAAAAAAAAACACTTCACTGCATCACTATTTTTGTTAAATAGATTTTTGTACCTTAATTGGGATCCAGAATTTAGACAATAGACTGTTGACAGAGTAACGTTAACGTTCGTTTATAAAGGTTAAAACGATGCTTTTGCAGTTGTGTCGAATAGTATGCACTTATGGGAGTTATATGGTACGTCTAAATCACTGTCTTTTGCAGACAGCAAGATATATGCTATAGGTTAGTTAACCTTAGCATAGCTTGCCATCACTATTAACTCGAAACTCCTCAAATACATTTGGGCACCCAAATAGAAAAGAGTGAGACTGCTGCTAAGCCATTTCTTGGTCCTCCACCAGTCAAAGAAAAAAAAAAACAAAAAAAACTTCAAGTTCTGTGTGGAAGCATTTTACAGTCATTAAAACAGAGATATTAAACATCTGTCAACATCTTCCATTCATAATCATTCATTCATTTCTTTTTGGCTTAGTCCCTTTATCAATCTGGGGTTGCCACAGTGGAATGAACCACCAATTTATCCAGCATATGTTTTACGCAGTGAATGCCCTTCCAGCTGCTGCCCAGCACTGGAAAACATCCATACACTCTTTCACACACATACAATAGGGACAATTTAGCTTACCCAATTCACCTGTATTGCATGTGTTTGGACTGTGGGGGAAAGCGGAGCACCCAGAGGAAACCCACGCCACCATGGAGAGAACCCAGTCGAGGCTCGAACCAGCAACCTTCTTGCTGTGAGGTGACAGCGCTACTCACTGTGCCACCGCGCAACCCTCTATGTAATGTATCATCATATGCACGAAAAGCATCCTCTCCTGATACTGTTTGCCAACCCCCCACAAGCATCAATCCCCTCATCAGCAGAGGTATGTTCTGCTAAATCCT